TACCAACAGTCCAACAGGTGTAGTTTCAAGTCCCATTTGCAGTAGAGGAAAAACTTTGCTTGCCTGCCCTGTTGGTTATAATCAACTGACATGGGACTGTTTATTGAATTTGCAAGATTCTGAATGGACAAGAGCAAGTAAAGAAAATGTATATATTTTAGAGAGAGCTTGTAGCACCTTTGAGACTGAGAGGTTGGTAGGATGAGCTTTCATAGACTAAAGTCTGCTTTCTTAGATGCATATGGACATCCAAACGCATTTGAGGAAATTGAAGTCTACAAAAGCTCATGCTGCCAACTTTTTTAGTTAGTCTCAAAGGTGCTACAAGATCTCTGTATCTCTGATTCATATATATAATTTTAATTAAGTACTGAAGCAACTAGATTATGAAATCATATATATATATATATATATATATATATATATATATATATATATATATATATATATATATATATGGATTTCATAATCTAGTTGCTTCAGTACTGAATTAAAATGGCATCTTTTAAAATAAATTTTAAGTAATTTGCAGTAACACCAGTGACTTGTACAGGAAATGTGAAATCCACCACTCGGATAGGAATAGAGCACATCTCTTAAAACAAGTCCCTCTAACTTTGGTTTTTGTTGTTTTCTCTTTTTCAGGCAGCTGCAGGGACTGCATTAATGCTAATCTTGTGTCTTTTCAGGTTAAAAGAACACACTGTTACTGTGATGGAAGCCTAGAAAGCTCTTCATATAACCAGTGGCGAGGCTGAACTGAGAAGCCAAGATAACCTAAATAGGATGGCTGCTTTTCCAAGCTGCCAAGGGTGCAGACCTAAGGTTGTCACTTGGAAAGTTTATTAACTGGTGCATCATAAGCTACTTAGCAGAAATCTCATCCTGTGCTTGCTAATAGCACATGGCCATGTGTCATGTTGAGGCTGGGTGTGTTCTCTAACCAGCAGGGAGAGAAGGAACTATGAAAAGCCCAAAAGTGTGTGTTGAAAACCGGCTGGGAAAACAAAATACATAGTACCAGCATGACTTAGTGGAGGGGTAAGCAACCTTTCCCCTTTAAGGGCCGAGGGACTTCAGCTCCCAGAAGCCTCAGCCATGTTAGCCAATAGTCCCATGTTGACCAATAGCTCCTGGGATTCTGGGAGCTGAAGTCCCTCGGCCCTTAAAGGGGAAAGGTTGCCTACCCCTGACTTGGAGCATTGGATATGACTCTGGAGACCAGTGTTCGAATCCCAGCTCAGCTATGTAAACCCACTGAGTGACCTTGGGCAAGTCACACTCTCCCAGCCTCACAGGATGGCAATAGCAAACCCTCTCTGAAGAAACCTGCCAAGAAGATCCCATGATAGGATCACCATAAGTTGGAATCAACTTGAAGGCACACAACAGCAACAACAAACTAGAAAAACTCAAAAATTTCCAAAGTGCCAGTGAGTGGAGGCCTCGTGTGTGGATGATGAGAAAGAAGACAGAACAATAATTGCTTTTTGCCAAGCAGAAACTAAACAACAATTGAGTGGTGTACAGTGATCCCTCCACATTTGCTGGGGTTAGGTTTTCCCCCAATGAATGTGGAAAAAACACACACTATTTTTTTACCTAAGCGAACACTGTTCTTGGACTTTCCAGGTCCTTCAGTGCAAGTCTGTGGTCAACATCTGCCAGAGGCTGATCACAGAATCATACTGGAAGGCCTTCAAATGCCTAGAGAAGTGTTTTCTCTAGGAACTTCTAGTTTCTCCAACACAGCTCTATGGTCAACTTCTGACAGAGTTGCGCTGGAGGACCTAAAGATTCCTAGAGAGAACATATTAATCAAAACCACAAATCCGTAAAAAAAGCGGCAAATGCAGAGGGCCAGCTGTACTTAGGCACAACAGTGAGATGCTTCCAGTCTTCCTCATACAAGTGAGACAAGCAAATGTTTGTCAGAGTCTTCCTTGCCTAAGAAAACCCTGTAAAATTCATGGGGTTGCTGTAAGTTGGCAGGCAATTTGAAGGAACACACAGGCGCACACAGATGCTGTGCTGCAACTACTACTTAAAAGACAAGACTGCTGATAGGCAAGGCTGCTGATGGCCCCAGAAAAAAAAAATCAACTATGAGCCTTTGCAGACTGCCAGAAATAGTGCAAATTGAGTCCACTTTAACTGCCCTGACTCAGTGCTAGGGAATCATGGGAACTGTAGTTTATTGTGGCACCAGAGCTGTCTGACAGAGAAGGTTCAATGTCTGAGAAAAAAGACAATTCCCATGATTCCCTAGCACTGAGCCAGGGCAGTTAAAATGGATTTAATTTGCACTATTTCTAGCAGTCTGCAAAGGCCCTATGTTGCACAATGGATGCAAATGTATTTCAACTTAAGTATCTTCCAAAGAGACAAGAGAATCTCCCACTGTGTTGTAAAAGCAGTTTGGGAAAGTGTGTAAAATAAAGCAATTTATCGTGGGACAAGGCCTTTTCCCCCCTGCCCAGCACAGCAATTCCTGCCCTAGATGGTTTGAGTTAATCAGATAGGTTAAATAGTAGCTGTTTATGTAGCATGTTTCTGTTAAAAGGCTACAGAGTATCCCAGTATATTTACAACAGCCATACAGGTTAGGACATTGTTAGTTTGCCAAAGAGCACTAAAACAGCTAAGGCGCAATTTGAGAGCAAGGATTTTTTTCCATTCATGCTTAATGTCTGTCCTGCAGTGCCTTAATATTACATCTTTGTACCTCATAACCTAACTTTGTGAGCGATTCAGAGACATAGCCATGTTAGTTTGCAGTATCTGTATACAAAGGGGTCTTGTAGCATTATTGAGACTAACTGCAAAAGAAACTGTAGCATAAGTTTTAACAGGCTGCATGTGCACTGCAGAAATACTATAGTTTGACACCACTTTAAATGCCATAGCTCAGTGCTATTGAATTATGGGAATTGTAGTTTGTTGTGGCACCAGAACACTGACAGAGATGGCTAAATATTTCACAAAACTACAATTCCCATAATCACATAGCATTGAGTCATGGCAGTTGCAAGTCTTGTCAAACTAGATTATTTCTGCAGTGCGGATGCAGAAATAGATTTGGTCTACTTCCTCAGATGCATGGACATAGAGAAAGTCTATGAAAGCTTATGCTACAACCTCTTTTGCAGCTGGTCTCAGGTGCTACAAGATCCCTTTTCTTGAGCTATGTGTGTGAATGCATTCAGAGGAAGTTCCCAATTAAGAAAGATATCATTTCTATGACAGGAGGGGGCCATTTTAGTAAATCTGAAGGCCATTTTTAACCCACTTTGGTCAATCACACACCCCATAAAAATCTATGGTTCCCCCCCCCATGCCAAATTATGTTCCCAGAAGTTACAAGAGTCAGTGTGGCATAGTTGCTTGAGTGTTGGACTATGATTGGAGACCAGGGTTTGATTTCCAGCTTGGCCATGAAGCCCACTGTGTGATCTTGAGCAAGTCACACACTCTCAGCTCAGGGGAAGGCAATGGCAAACCTCCTCTGAACAAAGTCTTGCCAAGAAAACCCTGCAAAAGGTTTGCCTTAGGGTTGCCATAAGTCAGAAGTGACTTGAAGGCACACAACAGGAAAGCACACAACCAGGTGCTCTTCCAAGAAGTCTTAAAAGAGGTAGCAGACCAATCAAATTTAAATGAAAGATTGTCCCCAAGTTTCTGCAGAGTGATTTGCCACAAGGTGCAAGTTTTTCTTAGGGGAAGTGAGCAGGAATGTCATTTGCTGCCACCTATGGCTTTCATTTTGTCAACCCTTAATCTATGGGCACCCCATCTGGAGATCATTAGCAAATCCTAATGAATGATACTTCCAACTTTAATTGTGTTGAGACAATGGGGTGTCATGCTGTCTTGGGAGCCAGTCAGGTTATTGCAGACAGACATGCACAAGCATCTGGGAGGAGTGTTAGAAGACTTCTAACTTCTCAAGCACAACTTGCTTTGCATATTTTACATGTCCCAGATGGTTGCATTGGTGATGATCCTGTGTCTGCAAAAGCCCTGGGAAAAACTGGTACTTCCTCACCAAAAAGCCTTATTCCAGCCCTGTGAGTTTATTGATTGCTCAGAAGCAAGAAGATATAGGTGTTGAGGCATATTTACTCAGAAAGAAATCCTATTATTATAGTGTGGTGGTGGTTGTGTGCCTTAAGTTATTTCTGACTTCTGGTGACCCTAAGGCTAACCTATCATGGGTTTTTCTTAGCAAAATTGTTCAGGGGAGGTTTGCTATTCATTGCCTTCTCCTGAGGCTAAGAGAGTGTGACTTACTCAAGGTCATCTAGTGGGTTTCCATGGCCAAGCTGGGAATCGAACCCTTTTCTCCAGAGTCATAGTCCAGCACTCAAACCACTACATCACCCTGGCTCCATAATGTGTTTTAATCCATCTGTCCATTCATTGTAAGGCTGTTACCTTTTGTGTTTTACTTCCATATAAAGAATGCAAAAGGTAATAGCCCTAGGATGAACAGACAGATGGAGTTGCCTTTGCTGTTGTGTGTATTTTCAAGGCATTTGTGACTTATGATGACCCTACGGCAAACCTATGAAGGGGTTTTCTCAGCCAGATTTGTTCAGAGGGGCTTTCCTCTTACCTTTCTCTGTGGCTGAGAGAGTTCAACTTGCCCAAGATCATCTAACCAAACAGGGATTTGAACTCTGCTCTTACAGAGCCAGTGTGCAGTAGTGGTTTGAGTGTTGGATTATGGCTCTGGAGACCAGGTTTCGAATCCTTGCTTAGTAATGAACCTCCCAATGGGTGATCTTAGGCAAGTCACACTCTCAGCCTCAGAGAAAGGCAAAAGCAACCCCCCCTTTGAACAAACCTTGCCAAGAAAACCCCATGATAGGGTTGCCTTAGGGTCGCCATACATCGAAAATGACTTCAAGGCACAAACAACAACAAAGTAATGCAAGTATTTTTGGAAGTGATCTTGCATGTTCCTCTCTCTATGAAGGACTGTAGTCTAAGAAATTTCATCATGGAAGGACAGACTGTGGAGTTTATCACAACGGACCAATCCTGTGCAGAAACTAGATTTAAAGTGAAAATAACCCACTTTTGTTAGTTGTTTTTCACATGATGTTCAGGTTAACCCAAACAAAGTAGAAAAACCGCAAATGCGGGTTGTTTTTCAGACGTTTGCATGAAAGAAAAATAACGCAAAAATAACCCAACTGGAAGGCTGACAAAACCCCCTCCTTTTTACTTTTGGGAAATTCTGAAAGTAGAAAGGAGTGGTTTTTGTCGACTTTTTGTTCAGGTTATTTTCACATTATTTCTCTTCCTGCCAACACATCTGAAAAGCAACCCACATTTGTGGGTGTTTAGGGGACTTTAAAATCCCGTTTCTGCACGGGATTTACCTCCATATGCCTTCCTCTGATAAACAACTATTAATAATAATAATAATAATAATAATAATACTCCGCCCCTCTGCAAAGCAATCAGGGTGGCTTACAATATGAATACAAGGCCACAGTTATTTGTCTAGAAAGCCCAGAACAAGTTGCTAGATCTTATGGTCACAGTGATATGTCTGAACATGAACAGGGCCTAGTGAAAACTGAAAAGGGAAGATATTAGATGATCTTGGCAGAGCACTAGCAACCTATATAACTCCTGGCCTCAGTCCAATAACCTAAAGCAGAATGCACTCTCCAAATTAAATTAAATTATAATGTATGCAAGTATGCCAAGATGATTGCTTCAACTCAGGTTTTATTGTCACAGGACAGACATTGCTTTAGCACATATTTCATCTTTGCTTGTGTTTATTTGGGAGATTGCCTCCTGACTCATTGCATATATGTATTGATTGACTGATTTAAATTCTGTTTTTCTTCCCAAACGGACTCCAAGCAGCAACAATGAAGAAACTTTCCAGGTGACATAGAAGCAGAACAAGATAAATGGTAAAACAACATCACAGTTTGACCCACTTTTCCCTGCAAACTTCAGGGCTGAGCTATGTAATTTAGCCCTGCCTGTGCTTTTCTTACAACAAGGTTAGGTGAAGAGATGGCGACTGGCTGTACCCATTATGTTTTGCAGCCCTGGGACTTTTTAGGGGACAGTTCTTTAAATGGATCCTGTCAGATCTTGTTTCAGTTTTGGAAAATGAATAACTAACATGCAACATTTCATTTCAAAACTGGGGCATGTGTGGCCAAGCAACACCAGAGTATGATCAGGATGGCCAGAGTTATAAATGAAGTACTACTGAGTAAATTGAGTGCAAGCTTCTTTTGAACTTTGAACTCAGTTTGCAACAGTAGAAATAAACTGAGGACAAGGGGAAGTAAGAGGAGGATTGGGAAACTGGGACATTTTAAAGGTAACTGAAAAAGTGGGATGACAATTGGGAATGCCCCTGCCAAATCAGGGCAGTTGAATTGTGTGTGAATATGCATGTAAACACAATACTCTAGTCTGGATCCAGACATAATCCTACTTAA